GAGGCAGCACCAAGCCTGGGACCCAGCCACACCCCGTCCCACCCCCCTCGCCCCTTCCAGGGTACATGGCTAGGCGGAAGGGGCTGGCGCCGGGCGCACCTTGCTGATGCCGATGCAGTACATGCTGGGGCGCAGGGCACACAGCTGCCTCAGGATTTCCACGCAGTTGGCCCCGTGGGGAGTGATGTTGTGCGGGACTTCCAGGAGGCACCGGTACCTGGTGGGACCCAGGAACGCGGTCAAAGATCATGGCCGAGCCCAACGCTCTCCAGAGACTCAGCACCAAGAGAAAGGGACCTGGGCAGGACCCCCAGAGAGACGCCTCCAAGGCCTCATTCCCCTTAGAGATGGTCCCTCTGCTGAGGACCAGGACAGGGTCGTCCCCTCACCCCGTAACTCCAGTAAGAAAGTTTCTCTAGTAACTCCTTTTGGCCCTACCCCTGCCTTTTGTGTCAGGACATCCCCACTCCCCTCCCCGCACAGCTGTTCGCCCTGGAGGAACCCAAGGCCGCACCTCTGGATGAAGACCTGGAAGGGGATGCGGACCGGGAAGCCCTCTTTGCGGATGCGAATGGTCTCCAGGAGCCCAGAGTACCGCAGCTGGCTGCTGACGATGTCTGCCTCGAAGAGCCCCGGCTCCTGAGCCAGAGGGAAGGGAGGTGAACACAATCCAGCCAGACCATCACACACCGAGATGGGGCCATGGGGGCCCTGCCAGCGAGGGGGATGATGACTGGTGAGAGACTTAACCTTAGACCAGTGCTTTCAATGGGATGTCAGGTTCAGCCTGAGCTTATGTGCTTTGCTGCCCTGGAGTCCAGGTACAGGGGGGTTGGCTTTTTCAGGAAGGGGAGTGCAGGAAAGAGAGAGGGGAGGGACCTCCCATGCAGGAGACAGCATCTCCAGAGCATGCAGCTTCCTTTAGCTAGGTAAATGCCTCTGTCAAAGGAGATTTTCTTCTCCATGCAGAGCTCTTTCTCCCCACTTGGCCAGGACCCACCACTGCAGGTCTGTAGAGAGCTCACTTCCTACCCTGGTCAGACCAACCTCCTCCAGGGGCGCGTGCATCCATCCAGGGATGGATACATGCTCACCTGCCCAGTGTGCCAGGCCTGCAGAGAAGTACTAAGGCCTGTAGCCTCTAAGAGCAGCCACTTCCGTGGGGAGATGTGACCCTGTGCCCTGGAGCAGGCCTGAGAGTCAAGCCACGGAGCAGACAGACAGCAAGGTAGAGCTCTGTCACCTGCATATGCCAGGGATTGGCTCTATTCTGTGGAGCCAGGGGGCAGGCGGGGGAGGGAGGGGGCAGGGCAGGGGAGCAGCAAACATATTTGCTTTGGGCATGGAGCAAAGTCAACATACAGAGACAATGGGTGGGTTTCGGGGCATTGTCTCCTTCCCGCCAGGAGGCAGCTGCTGCCCAAGGCTCTCGCTGAACAGGCCTCCGAGCTCTCACGGAAAGCAGGTGACACGGCACAGAACTGGGTGGCCCCAGGCTCCCAGCAGCTCCCTCCCCATGTATGACCCGCTGGCCCATCTCCAGGCTTGGGCACCGCCATGCCCAGGTGGAAACCCCCAAGCCAACCCTATAGCCTTAGAAGCAGCAGAACCCAGTGGGCAGCTCCGGTCAGATTTGGTGGACAGAGCTGTGGCATGCAGCCTCTTAGGACAGCTAGCCCTGCTCTCTCAGCTAGGGCCTGGTCACCCCACCAGCACATTTCCCTAGCCTGCCCTCTGCGCTGGTCACAAGACCAGCGGCAACTGGGAGGAAGGCGGGTGGGAAATCTCTTGCTAGGACAGAGTCGCTGAGGAATGGCCTTAGTGTTGGGGAAGTGGTGCTGAGCTTCTTCCCGCCCCGTGCCAGCTGCACAGCGCCTTCTTACCTTCTTGTCATTGGGCTTGATGCAGCGGATGAAGAAAGGGTTGCACCTAATCAGGGAGAGAGATGGAAGAGCTCATCCTCTGGGGAATCGGAGCAATGGAAAGCAGCAGCTGGGAGGACACGAGGCTCTCTGGAAGCTCTGCAGCTAGGATGCCCTGAAGAGCTCCCTTCCCTGTACTGAGCCAGGACCCTGCACCAGGCAGCTCTCTCAGAGGGAGCCTACCCCCAGCCATAGGAAGTGGAAGGACCTGGCGATCTACTGGATCTCTCTCACCCATCTCCTCCACCATGGAAGTGCAATAGCTGGATACCTGTTCCTCAAAGCCCCGAGCTCACTCACCTCTCCATCTTCTCCACCAGGTGCAGGAGCGACTGCTGGAACTTTGCCGCCACTGTCGGGGCCTTATAGCGCCGCGTGACTGTGCTGTTCTTCCCCACCACTGTCTGCTGCTGCGCCAGCAGCTGGGCATAGCCGAAGAACAGGTTGGCCACCACCTGGCAGGGGAGGAGAAGGAGGCAACAGGAGGAAGACCAGTCTTTTGAGATGTCTTCTGCTTCTGCTTCTGCAGCTCCCTTGGAGCGTTTCAGAGCTTACACGCAATGAGAGAGGGACAGCTCATGGGCACCCAAAGTCAGGGGATGGTTAAAATACATGCCTCTCACACCTGCACGGGCGTGTCCTCCCAAGTGCTACAGCGGCCTCTTCTGCCCCCTCACAGCCCACAACCCAGTAGCACTGTTTTGGGGAAGAGCCGGTCCAGCTACAAACCACACCGATCACCCCAAAAGTGAGACGGCAGGTGCATCTGTCCCTCTCAGTCTGTTCCTAGCACTTAAGCTTCTTGCGTGGACTTTAGCAGCAAGGCAAATCCCATCCTGCCCCAGCCTCAGGGAAGGGAAAAAGGATGCCCCAGATGTTTCTTTGGCAAACAGCAAGCCAACAACAGGCTCTTCAACATGCAGTGCCAACAGATTTCCCAGGGGTGAAGCCCATAACAGCACACGTGACCACTACCTGGGTCACTCCATCCATCGTAGCAATCATATGTTCAAAAGACAGCTCTGCTGGACCCCTGCAACTGGTAGTCCTCCATACCCACAGCCCTCCCACCCAGCCACGGCAGTCCAGATGGCCCCAGGGGCTGGGGTTTGCTCTTACTTTGGTTCTGCTGTTGATGAAAAGGTCCAGGACTTCCTGGCGAACGTGATCGTAGTTTTTATCCAGGAACTTGTGCACCTGGAAGAGAACAGGTTACTAGCCCTCACAGGGCAGAATGGGACTTAGGATTTAGTGCCCTCACCCTCCTCCTGTGGCCACACACTGTTCTTGAGCAAGGGGAAGAGGCAGAGAACGGGTTGCTACCGACACTGCCCCAGATCCGATGCCCAGATCTCCACACCTCAGCTGCTCACCTGGTACGTTACTTTGCCAGCGTAGTGTCGGATGGTGAATTCAGGGAGAGGCATCTTTGGCTTGATGTACAAGTCATTGGAGCCATGGTGGTAGTGACACTTCTGGAGGAAGGTGTGGTCTGTGGACTGGAAATGGGAAAGGGGTGCGCAGGGTTAAAGCCAGCCCACACTATGAGCTCAGAGCATCGCTGCTTCACCAGCCCCAGTGGAGTTTATGGCAGTGGGACAAATGGAGCTGGGGAGTCTCTGAGCATGGGGGATGCATGAACTATTTACATTCAATTAAAGCTAGAAAAACAATCCTCTGGCTTCAGGGCACATCAGCTGATCACTGAGGGGTCAGGAAGGGGTCTCTGCCTCCCCCTCTAGCCAAGCATAGCACTGTCAGACAGCCTGAGGCTTTAAACCACAGCAATGAGAGAGTTGAGCTGGCAAAGGAAACCTAAAAGCAGGGATGAGTCCCCCTTGCTGGAAGGAGCCTGGTGTAGTGGCTACAGCGCAAGGCTAAGATGAGAGCATCAGGGGTTTGGGGTTCTAGGCTCTGGAAGAGGGACAAGCCTTCCGCTCCAAGCACTGCCCCCTCATCCTTGAGCTGCGGGAGACTCTCTTCTAGCAGCACAGGGTCTAAGACACGCAGTCGTGCAAGCCTGGATTCAGCCAGAAGACGGCCCAGAAGACCTTGTTCTGCTAGGGGTATTTCCCATGCTTCTGCTGGTCACCACATGGGGCTGGGGGGGAATTCCCTCCTCTCCCCCTAGCTTCTACGTGTTGCAGGGAGAGTGGGTTTAAGCCTTCTTCAGAGGCACGGGGTGCTGCAGCCCAGGCTGGCGATGGTACCTGAGCTGTGCCAATGCTCCTACTGGGACTTAAAGCTGGAGGTGCCCAGCTAGAGGGTCTTGCCCTTCCACTCGGGGTCGACCCACATCATACTTGGGGTCACGAAGGAATTTTATCCTGCGGTCAGGCTGGTATAGACTGTGCAGGGAAGGGTTTGCCTTCCTCTGTTGCAGGCAGGCATGGTCTCTTCCTGGGATCTCTTGGGCATATATTAACACCCTTTGGCTGCCATGGTCCCCTTGCTTTACCTGTGGCAGGTTCAGGTGTTGTGTTTTGTGCTGTGCCAGGGTTGACCATATTGTTTTACTAAGGGGTTAGAAAATGGATTTGTCTGGGATGCTTTGGATGGGGCTGATCCTGCCTCAGGCAGGGGGGTTGTACTAGGTGCCTTGGGTGCCTGCCTGGGATGCGTCCAGGATATCACAGAGTATTAAGTAAGACCCAGAACCTACAGCTCAGGCCAGTACCTACCATGGCTGCTGGCGCACAAATGTGACCCCTTTTCTGGGCACTTTGCAATAACTACAGCAATGGTTACTGAGCCCGCTGCAGTGGGTCTACCTGAGGGAAAGAGCACTGGTCATCCAGGATCCGGAGAATCCCGTGGGGCTTCTGGGCGATGAGGTCAATGCAGGGCTGGTTGTCATTGAAGGAGATCTCCCTCCACTCCAGCTGCTCCCGGATATACTCCTCCTGCAGGGAGGGCACCCAAGGCCACACGGTTTCAGAGCCGATCAGCAGGCTGCTGCCCCTCGACACAGGCCATCCTGGGATAAACCGCCCAGAAGCAGCCCCACGATTGTAAGGTCTTGGGGAACAATCACAGGCTAGCAGAGAACGAGAGGCCTGATAACCCCCTGGCCCGCCCTGCCAGCTCTGAGGCTTGGTAACGCCTGTGCCCTTCAAGTGTGGCGAGTGATGGGCCAGGCACAGCCAAGGTGCCAAGCTGCTTCCCTCACCCACCTGCTCCTCCTTGAAGACGATCTTGTTGAAGAAGAACTGCAGATACTCGTTTGCATAATTGATGCACAGCTGCTCGAAGCTGTTGAAGTTGAGATCCTGGGGAAAGGACACGTGGGGTATGGAGAGTGTTGCGGGACAACGGAGGCAGCCTGCAGACTTTTCACTTGGGTTTGGCTTAAGCCGAAGCCGCATGTGTCTGCGGGTTCCCGGGGGGGCTGTCTGTAGAACAGCCGTGCCAGAGGGTATCGCTTTTTGCTACTGGCTGTCATTCTCAAGCAAAGGCCCAGGACCGGGGGAGCAAAGGATGCTACTGGTTAGGGAGAGAATGGTGATGGGAAGATCTGATGGGATGGCAGGGGCTGGGCTGAGCCAGGGATGGATCAGGGTGTCTCACTGAGCTGGGAGGGAAGGGGGAGAGCCTGGAGCCTACACACGCTCTGTTGGGCAGATGCCATTTTGGGACCTGCAAAAACCCCAGCGGAGAAACCTGCTTCCTGCAGTTTGATGCTTTGGGTCTAGGCTGGGGCAAGCAGCCTGCCTCAGGCAGCCAAATCCACCAGCCCTCCCAAGCAGCCCACAGCTGCTGGCCAATCCCCGGTGCAGAGAGACCCCAGGCTGGTCTTGGATTAAAAGGACAGAACCTGGCGGGGGGTGGGGGCACAAGCCTTATACTGAGACAAGAGATGGGGCAGGTCTCTGCTGGCAAAACCAATCCAGCTCTGTTGCAGGTAATGCAGCAGCTCAGACTGACACCAGCTGGGGATCTGGCCTGGGTTAGGGGTTCATTTGTGTGTGTGTGCGCACAACACTATCTATTGCAAAGCACAAGCAGGCCCTGGACTTGCTGGTCGGACCCCCAGGATGGGGGAGCGATGGACGTGGATCCTTTGTAATAACTAGGGCAGGGGCAGGCAATTATTTTGGGCGGAGGGCCACTTACTGAGTTTTGGCAAGCCTTCGAGGGACGCATGACAGGCAGCCAGGGGCAGATAAATATTAATTTTCTAAATTTTTTAGGAGTCCTGCGGGCCAGATGGAATGGGCTGGTGGGCCGCATCTGGCCCGCGGGCCGCATTTTGCCCACCCCTGAACTAGGGCCACACTAGGCCACACATTAGGAAACAGGTGAGTGAAACAGACTCTGGGGCCACTGGGGAAAGCAGGAGGGTAAAACCGTGGAAGCCACAGAAGAGGTGTCTATAGCTGGAGATGTTGTGTGGGCAGGGAGGGGAATTATAACCTGTCTCTTGTGTTCGCAAGGTCCTTGATTTCCATCCCTCTTTCCTCCAAGCCACGTTGTGGCTGCCAGCCGCCCCAGTGTCAGAGGGCCCTGTGGCACACATTCGCACCTATGGGGCTCCCCTGTGTCAGGCTCCCATCTGCAGCAGTGGGAAATGCTCCAGAGCCCCCACGGCTTTGCCTAGCATCCCTCATGGTGCTCTGTGCACCACCCGGACCTGTCAGGACTGGGCTGGAGCCGGGCTCACCTCAAACCCGTAGATATCCAGGATGGCAATGGAGAGAGCCTCCTGCTTGGGGTAGACCAGCTTGTTGGTCCTGTCTGTAAGCCAGCTGAAGAGCAGGGAGTACAATATCTTGGCAATGGCGTCTCTGGAAGAGAGACAAGATAAGCACAGCTGCTGGGAGACAGGAGAGCATGCGAGCTGCCAGGCTCAGTGCCAGCCACTCCAGGCACCTGGCAGCACTCACTCCCACCCGACATCACCTCCCAATCTGTCCTGGCATCGTATGGGACCTGGCTAAACTGTGGCAAAACATCTCAGCAGCATTCAAGCTGGTTTGGAGTCCTTATTTCTATCAGTAAGGTGATGGAAATTGCTGGTGCCCAGCAAAGGGCAGCTGGGTGCCCCAAGCCACGTACCCAGGACACCTATATTCACCTGGCAGGTAGACAGCTCTAACCCCAGCCACATGCACTGCAGAGCGCCCTGGGCCAGAGCATCCACTGGCTTCATTTGCCTCCTTTTCCCTGATTTCCACCAGCAAGCCCTTGTTTTTCCCCCCCAGGCTGGCACTACAGAGACTAACTGGCTTTTGTAGAAAGCAGCTTTCTGTCAGATGCTTTGTCATGCCTCACTTAATTTTTCCTCTCTAGAGGAAAAGGAGGCAAGTGATTATGTGCCTGAGCTGCTCAAATTTTCCCGCGTGGCTGGAGGCAGACCAGTAAAGCGGGCCTGCAGGCTCCATCCATTTCTAGCTCCATCTTGAGCCCTGGATGGTGCAGAGAGAGAGGCTCAGCAGTCCTTGTGGCTTGGCACCCAAACTGGAAAGGTGCTCTCAGTGCATCTCTGGCATGGGGCAGGGGCACAAGGAGAGGATGCCCTGCTTGTGCACCAGGTTGAATCCAGGGTCTTCCAAGGAGGGGTGGTGGCACTGCCAAAAGTGTGGCATTGCTACAAGTGTGGGATATGGGATGTGGCCTTCACCAGGGTTGGGGGAGGAGGAACAGCCCAGTGGTTAGGACACGAGCCTAGATGTGAGACGCCTGTTTCGAAGGAGACAACCATTTCAAAGCCTGCTCTGCTAAGGGATCTGCCATGCTGTATGGATCCCAACCTCCCCCCAGCCCCCCATCACCACCACCACCACGGCGTCCTGTTACCTGGCATCAACAGCACTTTCGACAGTGAGCGGGGTGTAAATCTTCTCCCTCAGCGTCTCCTGGGGGAGAGGTGAAGAGACAAACCAGCGCTGAGACCAGCGTGGCCACGGGCACGACCAGCCCAGGCCACCCCCTCCATGAGCGCTGCCCCGCAGCCTGGCAGAGACAGCTGAGGGGGCCAAGAGGTGCAGAGGGACCAGGTGGAAGTGGGCAAAGGGAAATAGGAATAGGAGCCAGAAGTGTGCCCTTGTTGCCAAGAAGGCTACTGGCATCCTGGGCTGCATTGCTAGGAGTGTTGCCAGCAGATGGAGGGCAGTGATTCTCCATGGGAGATGTAGGCTCCACGCGTGCAGTACCTCACCACCCACACTGCCGCTTCAGCCAGCTGACAGGGCCAACGAGCCTGCCCCGTGCTAACGAGCCGGTCTGCTGCACTGAGATGACTACGTGGCCGATTTAGGAGGCAGCAGGGCAGGCTGGCGGGTGCTGCCAGGTGCAGCAAGCTCCCCAAGCGGCATGAACAGCACCTAAGCATGGGGCCACACACCTGCCTCCAGTGGTGGCAAATGAAAGAGGACAGGGGAAATCCCATCCCATGCACCAGGGCAGAGGAGAACTAGCTGGCGGTGGGCAGGACCTGACCCTGTTGTCCATCTCCTCCCCATGACAGCACCCACCTCTACCCAGCCAGGCACTCTGCAGCCTCTTACCGTCACTTTGAAGGTGATGGCTCTCTCCAACCCCTCCGGCGAGACTTGCAGCAGCTCGGCCACTGTGAGGATCTCCTTCGCGCTCACGACCGACGCGACCTCCTGGCAGTCCGTCTGCAACGCAGCAGGTGCTGGGGTGGGACACCGCGGGCCAGGCTCCGGGAAAGCCTGGAGCACTGCACACAGGGGTGCATTCCCATCTCTGCAGGAGCACGGCCCCACACCCCCAGCAGCAGCGGATCAATGCAGCTCCACTGATGTCACTTGGGCTCTGCTGATTTGTGCCAGCCCATGGCCAGAGTCACAGCACAGAGCTCCCTGGGAAATCCTTTGGCTTGCCCTGATACCTCCATGAATCTGGCCACAGCGTCAGCAGTGTTTGGGGACCAGACACTCCAGGAAAGGGAAATATTGAGGCCTGGGTTCAACCCTGAGCCACATCTGCCCTTGCTGCTGTGGGGGGGTCACAGCATGGGGGTGTCTCACACTACAGGGCACGTCTCAGAGACTGCCAACATCATCTCTGCCTCCCAGGCCCCTGCGCTGCTCCGCGCCCAGAGCCGATTACCTCGTATTTCTCAAAGTAGACGTTCCCCAGGTGGAGGATGGAAGACAGGATGCGGAAGATGCTGTTCTGGTCCTCGATGCTGAAGTTCAGGTTCTCCATGGACGTCACCAACCGCCGGAAATCCTCGGCATCGTTCTTGCCAAAGATCTCGCAGTTACCTCCCTGCACAGGTTTACAGCAGAGGACGGGGGGCTGGCAGGGCTCTCGGCAGGCCATCTCTAGCCTAACCCCCTGCTAACAGCAGGGTCAACCTGGTCAAAACCGTCTTAGACAAAGGTCTCTCTAAGATGCTCATAACAGCTTCCAAGGAGCCTCTCTAGGGAAGCTCCCTTACAGTGAGAAAGTTCTTCCTGTTATTCCACCTCCATCTCCCCCTGGTTGCAATGCTTCTCCTGACCCCTGGAGATGGGGAGAATAGACTACCACCACCCTCTTTATAATAAGATTTCATAGACATTTGGGCTGGAAGGGACCCCGGAGGATCATCGAGTCCAGCCCCCTGTCCCAGGGGCAGGAAGTCAGTAGGGATCATAGGATAACCCTTTTGTATTTGAAGCCTGTTATCAAATCCCCCCTCTGTCCTTTCTTCTCCAGACTAAATAATCCCAGTCCTGCCAACCTTTCCTTGTACATCATGTTTCCCGGCTGCATTCCTGTTGCTCTCCACTGGCCTCCTTCCAGTTTATCTACAACACCCTTGAAGAGCATCGCTCAAAGCTAGACACGGTGCTCCATGTGAGGCCTCGCTGTGCAAACCAGGCACAGAAACTGGACCCAGTGCCAGGGTCCTGGGAGCCTGATCTGGTGAGCAAAGCAACCCGGATGTCACAAGGGCAGGGACCTTGTGCTAGCTGCAGAAAGGCATCGCCAGGCAGGATCGCCTGCTAGCTTGTCGGGTCAGTGTGGGGGGCACCAGCTTTGCCAACGTGCTTGCACAGGGCCTTGCACCATCGTTCCCAGGTCCAGTGGGGAAGCCTGGTGGCTGGGGGCTGCCCACCTGGTTCAGATAGTAGTACGTTTCTGCTTCCTGCAGGAAGAATCGCTGCTTCTGCTGGGAAGGAAGGCCGGCCAGCATCTCGTAGAATATGTGATAGTTCCTTTCGTCTTTGGCCTACGACACAATGGACCGAGGAAGCATTGGGGTAGCGTCAAAGGTGGCCTTGGGGTGGTGGTGGGGGACATGGGGACTCACCTGAAACACAATCCTTGATTTCTCAAGAAGGTACTGCGAGGTTATGGCACCACAGATAAAGCCGCTGGGAGAGACAAAGATTAGCGTCTGGGCTTGGCCATCTCAATAGGCGGACGACAGCGAGGGAAGGGCCAGGGTCTGCTCGCACCCCGCCTGCCGCCAGTACAGGGTCCTGGGTGGGAGAGACACTCCCACGCCACCCTACCCCCATACCCGCTCCATGGGCCAGAAGAAGCCCACGGTCTGCCCAGACGGGAATGTCCTCCCTGAACCCAAAGCAGCAACCAGCTCAGTCCCCTGCCAGAGTGATCACAGGCATCTCACCCCTGTGCCCAGCACTGTCCGGGCATTTGACCTCATCCACTGAGCTCTGGACTCCCAGAGAGGAGCAGCCTGCTGTCCAGCTGCATTGCAGTCACCTGCCCAGGCCCCAGCACAGCCAAGGGAGAGCCAGGAGTAGCCTCTCCGCTTGGTCCCTGCCATTGCGCAGCCAGCAGAGACCACAGGCTGGCTACCTCAGCCTGGCACACTGGGACTGGCTGTTAAACCCCCTGTGCTAAAGCCTGGTGCCAAGGAGGGCAGGCCTGAGAATGAGCCTTCCCGTTCTCCATGGGCAGAGACGGAGACTCCTCCGCTCTGTACAGGCGTCAGCCGGGCTGACACGGGATCAGCACACCCTGCATCCACACAAGGGCTTGGACTAGTGACCCAAGAGGTCCCCTCCAGCCCGAGAAGGCTACAGTGGTGTTTGAGCCCCCTGCACCCATGCATTCAGTGAGGTGGCCAGTGTCCAAACGGATGGAGAGACCGACAGAAGGACACTACCGCGGCTGCATTCCCAGGCTGGGTAGAAGGACCGATGAGAAAGGAGGCAGATCTAAAAGGCCAAGAAGCCCCTGCCTTATGCGGGGGGGGGCAGCCATTTACATGCTATCCTCATTTAAAGTCCTTCATGCCCACCATGATCTCCGCAGGCTGGCGAGGTGGCACCAGCCCTGGGATGGGTCTGTGTCACCTGGGATGGCAGAGCCAAGGAGCAGGGATATTGCCCAGGGCAGCGGCTCATGCCATCATCACAGCTGCCTCTGCAGAGCCAGCGACTGTGCGGGCCTGTGGCCAATCACCCAGCTACAGGCAGAAGTCACCACCATGGCTGAGCAGCTGGCCTGGCATTGTGGGCTTGATCAAGCAGCTGCTCCAGGGGCAAGGACACAAAGGGGCAGCCGCTGCCCACCGGGATGGAGCCCGCGTCGCACAATGGCCCTGCCCTTCGGAGGGGAATGGGAAACGAGAAGCCACGTCACCCGAGGGGATCTACCGGGGTCGCAACGTGGCAGCACGGAGGTGGGACCAGGGTGGGGGGCCTGTGGGGTCACGTGGAAGGGCAGGGTGGGACACGCGCAACATGAGGAAGGGAAGGGGCAAGGCGTTGCATGCCGGCTTGGTGTTACTTACTCCTCCAGAAAGATTTCCACAAATTTCCCAAACCTGCTGGAGTTGTCGTTCCTCACGGTTTTGGCATTTCCGAAGGATTCCAGCAAGGGCGTCGCTTCCAGGATCTGCCCCGGCAGACGGAGAGAACGGGAAGGGCCGGTCAGCCTGGGGACGAAGCCAGGACCCTGGGCAACGGGTCCCTCCTCAACACAACCGAGCAACCGGCAGCAAGGCGATAACACCCTCAGCTCCATCCCCAGGCCCAGCCCTTGCCCTGGCACTGACTTCCACAACGGTGCACAGCTGTCATTAGGTGCAAGAGTACACAGCCACAGTCCCCACATGATCAATGGACTCACGGGACACCCAGGGACACTGGGTGAAACACGGAGCCAAGCCACGTCAAACCCAAGCTGGAAACATGCAACAGAGAAGTCACTGGTGGCGGGGGAGCTGTCAGCTCTTCGGGGCAGGCTCCTGGCCGAGGGACCTGGCCACTCACCTCCTGCCATGCCGAGGCCTGGCTCTGTCTGGGACTCGGAGGGGCTGCCAGCAAGCTGGTGCCTGCAGCCTTGGCCCATCCATCAGGGCTCCAAGAGGGTTCCCACCCTCAGCTTGGGGTGGAAATCAGCCACCCACGGTGCTCAGGGATAGGAGACCTCAACCTGTGGCAACCTCTCTTTGGGATCTCCTGATTAAACGGTGCCTCTGTGCTGCACGTGGAGCTGAGCAGGAGCGAGAAGGGACCTGGATTTTGCTCCTTTGAGTTCTTCTAGTCAAGCAATCCCCACAGAGCTTTGCAGAGGGAGGAGGTGAATGCAACCACCTCCTAATCAGACACAGCAGCAGCAGCTCGCACAGTGCCAGGAGCCCATGGCTGGGTAAAGAAGGGGGTCATAGGGGTCTCAGCTGGTTGAAAGGGTGTTGGGGTCTGTAGCTCCCCCCTGCTTATGGCTGAAGGCAGGAAAGATGAGCAAAGGGCCACATACGGAGCCAGCAAGAAGTTATTCACTGCAAAACCATGCACAGGGCTCCAGGCTGCCAGCCCCTCTGAAAGCAGAGCAGCAGGACCGAGCCCCAGGGAGAAGACATGGCAGGCCATGCAGCGCCGCACGCACAACCGTGTACCTTTATCTAGAGGAGCCGGCAGGAAGCAGGGGAGCAATGGGAGCAGGGTCAGTAGCACGCAGGCAGCGAGGGGCAGGTGAGGCACCGCACGTGCTGAGAGCTCTGATTTGCTCCAAGGGACCAGAAGCCGGCCTGCTGCCCCCATGGAGCTGAGCCGGTCTGCGATGCTGCTCATTGCCAAGGACAGCTCCCAGCTCCATCAGGGGGAACCAGCGGCAGGATGGAGGATGAGGCGAGGATGGAGCCTGGAGACCCCGAGCGCATCACAAGGATGTGCGGTTGGGCAGAAAACTGGAAGCCCTGGGGAGAAGTGGCTGCGAGGAGCCTGCATCGCGTGGAGAGAACGTACCAGCTCCACTGGTGTTAGACACAAGCCTGGGGGACGGGCACGTCTGCCAGGCGTCCAGCAGGCAGGGGTGCCAAGGGGGCACGCTGGGTATACCTGGGGCAAAGCCCCTGCAGTGCATTCTGGGTATATCGGGGGAAGATGCCAGCACCTCCACGTCAAACAATGCCCCCCGCAGCGATAACAGGGGTCTCCGGCGGGAAGGCCGTACCTGCTGTGTTGCGCTGCGCTTCTTGTTGACAGCGGCCAGGTAACGCAGGATCAGCTTGGTGGCTTCTGTTTTGCCTGAGCCACTTTCACCACTGGAAAGCAAAGACCAGGCCCCTTCACGTGAGAAGGATCAGAGCCAGGCTGGCAGAGCTCGGTGGAGATACCAGGCCCTGCTCCCATAGGAACAACAGCAAAGTCCCTTTGACTGCAACGGGCAAAGACCCCGGACCACGGGTGACTTCATTGCGAACTGAACGAGCTCAGGGCTGGGTGAAGATGCCAGCGGGGCAGGCCAGGGAGGAGCATCTCCCATCCTGCTGCAGAACAGGTATGGCATGGCAGAGACTGCCAACCAGCCCCGACCCAGCCCCACAGGGACCCCCTCTCAGAGAGGAAGGGGCAGGGAGCGGGGCCTGGCCGCGGGCTCTCACCTGATGATAATACACTGGTTGCGTTTGGCATCCATCACTTTGCTGTAGGCGACGTTTGCAATAGCAAAGAGATGCCTGTGAAAGGGAAGCCAGATGTGGGATTGCGCAGGCTAAAACGCTCTTGCTCTGCAGGGTCCCATCAGCCTCCCCTCCTGGTCCACAGACCCTCCACTGCTTGGAGCCCAGCCAGCGCCATCTCCCTGGTCGCCCTCTTTCTCCGGTTCTAGCTGCCCACGTGGTCCGTGCTTTAGTTATCCATGCAGGGACCAACAGCAAGTCACCCACCCACTAGTGTCCCCAGCACCATTGCCAGGACTCACGGAGCATCCCAGCAGCTGGACGCCAGCTCCCTGGGCAGAGCAAGGATTGCTCTCAGGAGCCACGGCTCCTAGGCCCGGGTCCCCAGTCACGACAGCCTGAGCTCAGGTTGAAGCAGGGTGCTCAGCTCTATAGTGCACCACAGCCATCTCGGCTCAGAAGCAGCTGTGACAAACCAGGCGGGTTTGTGTCCAGCCCCCAGGCCCATGCCAGCTAGAAGTACTTACGGCGGGTTCTCGCCCAGTGCCTTCCCTTCATACTGCAGCACCTGGTCCGTCCCGTAGATGTTGTACATCTTGTAGGGGTTCACGGACACCAGGATGCTTCCAATATAGGTCTGTTGGTGGAAGAGGGGGTGCAGAGGGAGAGCTGGTTAGTGGAGTGGTCTGGGCGCTGCACCAGGGTAGAGGAGGTGTAGGGGCGAGCTGAGCCCCCAAGCCAGGAAGGATGATCGAGGGTTGCATGCAAGGCCAGAAGGACTCCCCTGATCCCCGGCACCTCTCTGGGGAGCATCCCCCCCCAACGGAGACACACAGCACTGAACAGCAAGCGGAGACAGAATGGGGCCAAAACCCAAGTGTCCTGGGGTAAAACAGGCTGAGAACCCAGGTGTCCTGACCTCAACCCCCACCCAACACATGGATCTGGGGGAAGCAACCACCGCCAAGGCCAGGCCCCTCCAGGAGACACTGCAGGGCCCCGTACAAAGCTCCAAGTCCCTCCCGCTGCTGGGAACGTACGTAGATCAGCTCGTGCTCAAACCTCTTCCTGATGTTATACAGCACCACGAACTCCTGCAGGTCCCTGCAACAGAGCACAGACCAGTTGTCACCCCCAGCAAAGGCAGCTGATGGCTGGAAAACCCTATGGGCAGGAACCCGGGCACCCGGGTTCAGCTCACGGCTACCCAGGTGGGGGTGAGGGAATCCACCCCAGGCAGGTGGTGGCAAGCAGAGATTGCCAGAGAGGCTGGCAGCATCTTCTAGGGGGTCAGAGGAGCTGCCGTGTATCTGCAGAAGCTATTCACAGCAGTGGGAGGACTGTGTCTGCAAGTTGGTGCCTGGGGATGCCACCGTGCACGGTGCTGTGCATAGACGCAGGGAGAGGCAGCCTCTGCCCACGGCGCTTGCAATGTCAATAAACAAGGCACGTGGGGGCTGGGGGGAGAGGGCTGTGACGTGTCCAGGATCACACAGGAGATGGGGGGCAGAGCTGTCACACTGCCGTAGCCCTGACAGCTCCCAGGCTTGCACCCCGGGCCCCGTGTCCCCACCGGGAGCCAGCCGCCTGCACCCGCCCGTCACTCACTCCAGCTGTGTCATGTCCTCCACACCATCCTCTTCCCGGCACTCCCGGAACAGGTAGGGCAGGTGGCGGATAGCGTGCATCTGTGCATGGACAGTGAGACAAGTGGTTACTAGAGGGGCCATGGGCCAGGTGGGGGGGTGAGCCGGCCACGACTCGGTGCTGCGCTCCAACAGCTGCTGCTCCCCGGAGGGGCAAACTGAGCGTGCAGAGCTGGGGGCGGGGTGGGGTGCTCTGTAGCAACCCTTGCGGGAAGACGCAGCCAGAGGGGGAGAATGAACCCCACCAAAGGGCTGGGCAGGAAGAAGGCAGGGCACTGCCCAAGGGGTTGAAGCCCGGGGTGCTGCATTCAGCCCAGCCAGGGCTCTTCCCTGCACCGTGTTGGTCCTCGACACATGAGCACGGAGCTGGGCATGGCACAGACAGGCCATGCTGCAGGTGCGGGAGGCCCTGGGAGCCAAGGGGCCGTGGCTCTCCTCTCCCCACTGGGTCACACCCTTTGGCCCTTTCCCTTGCGCTCTGTCTAAAGGGCCCTAAATGCCTCCAGCAGCCTCGGTTGAAGCCACGGGTGAACCAGGGAGCACAGGCTCCTCTCTGAAAAGCCAAAGTAACTAAGAGTCAGTGGCTTCGCAAGGCCAGGCAGTAACCACGGGAGTGTTTCAATGACCACAGGAGCCGCCTGGAGGGAGTCCAGCCCGTGCCGGCTGGGGCCGGGCAGGCAGCACCCAGGTAAGCGTATCCCAGCACAAGGCGAGGCGGGCTGGGGGGGAGAGGGTGCACGCGATCCCTGCCAGCCCGCGCCTGCCAAGAGTCGTCCTAGCCTCTCTAATTAAAACTCTCCTGTTCCAGCGCAGCGCCTGCCCGGAGATCAGGTCCCCGCATTTGCATTCGGTGCTGTTGTTCCACACCTAGGACAGAGGTCATGTGTCTCCCGGTAACCGTGCGTCCTGGATGCCACCGCTGCCCCCACAGCCGTGGGGAGGGCTCAGGGCTTTTGGGAGCAGCCAGCGCTTGCTGGGCTGGTTGGGCTCTTGCCTGCTGGCTTCACAGAGCGACCGGCCGCCTCTCTGAGCAATGCATAGCGCACACCATCGCCTCCAACACTGCTGAGCGTAGTGCGGAGGCTCTGCCACCGCGCCCCCGTGACTCACACATCAGCACAAGAGCCGATCCCAGCCCCTGGGAGTTTACACTCCCCCATCATGGATGTTGGCTGGCACCGAATCAGTGCACACCCCCGGGGACCCTTCCAGGGCAAAGCCCTGAGGCTGAAGCTTGCCCTCACTGCACCCCACAAGTGGCACCAATATTACCTTCTTGGCCCAGGCCAGCCTCTTGCCCCCAATGACCATGGGCCAGCGGCTTCCATCTCTCCGAGCGGGCAGCGAGGCATGGCGAGTCAGGTGTCCAGATGCAGTGCCCCCTTGGCCACCCCTTCCTCCTCCTCCTCCTCCTCCTCCTCCTCCTCCTCGCTGGCTGGCCCACCGGCGGGTCTCACCGGGCAGGTGGCGGACGCCGCTCTCCGAGCACCAGACGCTGGGCATCTCGCGGATGTGCACCGTGTGCTGGTTGGACCAGTGCTGCTTGTAGCGGTGAGAAGCCCGCTGGAAGGAGCTCAGCCGCTGGATCTGCGGCGTCACCACCGCGTACCGCCCCGCACCCTCGTCTGTCAGCAGGTCCTCGTTCACGTACACGCCCGGCGGCTCGTAGTCCTCTGGCACGGAGGGGGCCCAACTGAAGGCTTGACCGTGCCTGGGCGATGGTGTGGGGGACGCTGGCTTCTGAGAGGGTCCCTGCGTGGGGGGACACCTCAAGTGCCGAGGGGAGCTGGCACCCGGCTGCCCAAACCGCTTCACGAAGGGGTTCCCACTGCCTGCCGAGCCGCTGGGCTCTGCACCCCGGCTCACCCGGGGCTGCCCGTCCTGCTGCAGAAAGGGGTTGTGCGTGGTGGGGTCCGCGTCGGCTGCCCGCAGCACGTCCCAGGCCCTCGGGACCACCTCTCCATCCCGCACGGAGGCCTTGCTGCCGGTGGGCCCGTAGTCTTCCAGGACAGCGGGCACCCACGCGTGGGCTGACTTGGGAGCCTCCTGGATGGTAACGTGCCGGCCGCCTTGACCCGCCAGCATCTGCGGGGAGGGGGTCCTGCCAAGCTCCCGGGGAGACAGGGAGCCGGGTGGGCGACCCAGCTGCTTCATGAACTGGCTCCTTATGACGGGCTTCACCGCCTTGGTGGGGGGCTCCGTCTGCCTGTTCCACGCTTGGGGGAGCAGCGACGCGTGGCTCATGCTCCTTCCCGCGGCAGGAAAGGACCCGGACTGCCGTTGGCGCAGGCGAGACGGAGCGGAGGTAACCGGGAAGCCCGAGCTGAGCGCGTCCGTGGCGAAACGCAGCAAGCCGGTTTTGAGTGGCGCCTGCCCGTTGCGCCGCAGGCTGCTGGCATGCCTCGGCGCAGGCCGCGGGGAGGAGACACGCTGGCTCATGAAACGGTCATGAGCTGACGCGGACGGGAAGGTGGAGTCTCTCCGTGCCGGGGGCCCGGTGCCGGTGGGGTTGGGCCCCCACAAGGCGCAGAAGGAGGACGCCTTGTCTCTGGCCCCCATCGGCATTGCCCCGCTCAACGAGGGAGAAGGGGCAGCAGAGGAGCCCGCGGTCCGCACAAGGGAGCGCAGGGATGGAGGGGGACCGCGGGGTCCCGGCTGCGTCCTGGAGCTGGACTCTGGCGACGGGGAGCGTGCCTCGCTCCGCCGGGCAGGCTGCGGGGAAAGCCGCTGGGAGTTGTTATTATTGCTGTGCCCAAATTTTCTCAGCGGCGGGTCCAAGGCCCCCATGCCGGCCAGTTTGTGGCCAAACCGCTTGTAGGCTGGCTCCCTGCGCGGTGACGGTGGGTCGTCCTGGGGGATGTCGAACCGCCTCACCGAGAGCTGAGCCGACGGCGACTGGCCCGGCTTGGGGGAAGACGTGGCGCTCGTTCTGGCCGAGGGCTGCGGGGACGGCGCCTGCCTCTGAGAGAACAGCGAGGAGACCACCCGCCGGAAGGGAGCTGGCGTGGGGGGCCTCTCCTTCGCCTCAGGCAACCGGTGCTTTAGGATGGGTTTCGGCTGGGAGAGGGACTTCAGTAAGAATTGGCCCAGGGGGCTGCTCCCGTATTGCCTGGCCGGCGCATCGGGAGCCTGCGTGCCCTGCAAGCTGCCTGGTTGGCCCCCGAATGGGCCGAACGGCGAGGCACGTGGCTCATAGGGGTTGTAGTCGTCCTCCTCTTGCTGCAGGTGTGGGGACGGAGGGAGGGTGACGTCCAGCTTGTCTTGGCCAAACAGCTTCACCTGCGGCCTGGGGAAGAGCCGGAGCTGCCTGTTCAATGGCAGCTGGGAGGGCAGCGCGTCCTCGGGGCCCTGCTCGTCGAAGAAGGGATAATCCCCGTTCCCATTCTCCGCCTCCTCCAGCTCCTCCATCTCCAGGATGTCGTCCAAGGGGTAGGCGTAAGGGTTGTAGGAAGCCTGAGCGTGAGGCGCCCACGCATAGTCATCGTAACCCATTTCACGCGGAGGGTAGTCGTCGTCCGGGTACCCCACTTCCTCGGCCCCCGGGCTGTAAAGCCCACTGGGGGCACCGTACTGGTCCTCGTAGTAGCCGTCCAGCCCCGTCTGGTCCTCGTAGTAGTCCACGTCACCCCCGTAGTGGTCGTAGGGCTCGTACAGGGAGTAGCGGGCCGGGGCCGGGGCGCTCTGGTCTTCATACTCGTCGTAGCCATACTGGTTCTGCAGGGGGTCGTCGTAATACTCCCCGCCTTGCGTGCACAGCCCGTACTCATCTTCCACCTCCTCATCTGGGTAGGTCTCAAAATTCGAGGCCCCTCCATACCTGTCCCCGTAGCTGCCCGGTGCCTGGAAGTAGCTCTCCTCCTCTGGGTAGCCATACGGCACCGGGGGGCTGTAGGAGCCGCCTGCTCCTTGGCGGTAGCCGTGGTATGGCGAGGGCTCTGGGAAGTCCTCGTACCCGCTCGCCCCGCAATGCATGTAGTGCTTGGAGGGCGGCCGGCCGAGCCCGCCTTGTCCCAAACCTGGCTGGTCACCGTAGTGCTCTCCCCCGGGCCCAGAGAGACTCTGCCCTCCCGAAAAACTGTGCAGGCTGGCCCGGTGCCTCGCGAGCTCTTCTTCGGAGGTGATGGGGAGCTTCTTGGCTCCGATGCGAGACAGGCGGAGCTGCTTGGCGGACCTCTCCTGGTAGGAAAGCCGGTCGTCCTGCTTGAAGAGGAACTTTCTGGTCAGCCAGCTAGTGGCGGCGGACACTTTGCTCAGGATCTGAGCTCGGGGCTTGAATTTCTCCTTTGTTGCGGGAGGGAGCGGGCTGCCAGAGGACCCGGCGCCCTCCTCAGCTTTCCCTCCCAGCTTAATCAGCAGGTAGGAAGGTTTCTTTGGGCTGCTGCCAGGTTCTTCTTTCTGCTTCTTCCCCAGGCCCTTAAAACGCACCATCAGGTTGGAGGTGGATTTCAGCACCGCCTTGTTCTTGGCCTTCCTCCTCTTCTTCGTGCTGCTTTTGTTCAGCCCCCAGAAGAACCGGGAGGCGTTTTTGAACTGGCCCTTCTTGGAGGGCTTCGGCCCCTTCTTCTTGAAACCCAGGAAGAGCTTGGACGTGCTTTTCAGGCTCCTCTTCGGCTTCAGCGCGGCCTCCTCCTGGGCTGGCTCAGCCTCCTCCTTCGCCGGCGCGGCCTCTTCCTTCGCCTCCTTGCCAGCCCCTTTCAGCTGGCCTTTGCCGAAACCTTTCTTGGCCCCTTTCTTCCCCTTGGCATCGGCCGGCTGGGAGGCACCTTTCTTCTTCGTCTTCTTATCGGAGTCATCTTCTGGCTTGGCCCCCTCCTTGCCCTCCTCTTCCACCTGTCCCTTCTTCCCCTTGCCCACCTTCTTGCCGCCAGCTTTGGCAGCTGCTCCCTTTTTGTCCTTCCCTTTCTTCTTTTTCGGGTCCTCCTCCACTTCCTCCACTGCTTCCTTGGCCACTTCCTCCGGCGCCGCCTCTGCCTCTCCTTCATCCCCCTCCGCGGTGTCACCCTTCGTCAGCTCGGTGTCCGACGCCTCCTCCGGCTCATTGACCTCATCCTTCTTCCCCTTCTTCCCTTTGCCCTCGGCCGACTCCTTCCCTTTGCCCCCTTTGGCATCGGCTTTCGCTCCCTTGCTCTCCTCCTTGCCTTTTTTGCCGGCCATGTTGGGGCTGTCGCGGGTTCATGCTCCAGTCCCCAGGCACGGCCTCCCCATACGTCGCCCGAGCAGGGGGGCGGTTTCGAGCCGCGTCGATGCGGGAGGTCGCCCCTGCCCCTACCCCTCCCTTGAGCAGAGGAGATGGGGACGAGGGTTCAAAGCCCCACGCTCATGCTGTGCAGATGCCTCCGCGAGCCGCTCAGACGGTTTCTCTAGCAGCAAGAGGACGGCGCCTTTTCTGCATCGCGCTGGAGCGGCGGCAGGACGCGGGGGCTTGGCTTGCTTTACCTTTGTGGGGTTCCAGCAAGGCAGGCACCGTCCATGCTCCCCAGCCCGGGCTGTGCTCTTCTGGCACTGACCTTCTTCATTCACTTGCAAATGCTAATGCGCCGCCTGGCCGGTGGCGACACCTTCCCCCGAGAGCCGTGGCCTCTTCAGAGCATCCTCAGGCCAACCTGGTCCTCGTCCCTCTGGGACAGCCGTTGCCTCGTGCCTTGGAGCCCCCCAGCGTCCCCCCGGCCAGGACTCCTCAGCCTATCCCACAAGGCGCTTGCTGCCTTTCTGCAAGGACACCGGCGTTCAGACGTCAAGTTGTTGTGGCTGTGCTGAGGCACTGTAACCGTATCTCCCGGGCTCATGGCTGTATGAATAATGCAGGTGGGCTGCACCGGCTTGACTCCGAGACTTTTCCAAAGGAGCAACCAGAAAGCAAAGATGTAGAGGGGATCTTGGCCGCCGGCTCTGGCCAGCGCCCCCCACCAAGGCCACAAGGAACAGAGAGCAACCTAGAGGACAACGTGGTCAAGCTGGGTGGTGACCACCCTTCCTAGAGGGCGAGGTCCCCACTCTCCACAAATGGCCTGTGCACGAAGTACCCGAATGCAGGCTGTCGGGCCCTCCTCCTAGGGTGCCTTTCGCCTCTACTGGCCTTTCTGCTGTGCCTTTCACGGTCAGGAGAGCTGCTCTGACCGCTCTGGGGACCCACCCTTTGTCGGTCACTCCAGCCACGAGAAGGAAGACCCCACGGATGCAGCTGGCTTGGTGTAAAGTTGCATTTACCTGAGCAGGGGACCCTCGTGTCATGTGCTGGCCAAGTCCCATGAGGCCAGGAGAGGCTGTCCAGGCCCTGGGGGTGAGTGTGACCTTGGGGCAGTGACAGCTGCAGTCAAATCCAGCCCTGCTGATTGCTGCTGGGAAGTCAGGCAGAGCAGAGGTCAGGGACCTACTGGTTTAGCCAGACCAGCACCATCCATCCTAGAGAGTCAGGCCACAGCCAAGATTAGCCACCTCCGCCTGTCGGGGACAGCAGAGCAGGAGGGCAGCAGCGGGGAACTACTGGGGGAGCACGAGGAAGACAAACCACAGGGCAAAGCCAGGCCCCTTGTGCTGATCCCAACAGGGAACACCGTGGCTGATCGCTGGCCACCGCAACAAGCATCTGCCCAGTGCCTGAGCCTGGGGACACGGACCCAGTGACTTTGCTAAACCCACGAGACTGGAGCTGGGAAGACAATATCCCTGCAGAGCTAGCCCGGGGTGGGCAGTGAACACACGATCACCCGCATGCTGCCCAGGTGTTTATAGCAAGGTGTGTGCCCAAGCGGGTGACGTGAGGCTGCACGGGGCCGTGTGAGCATGCACGGTGCCTGAGACAGGCGTGTTTGCCTGGCTGGTGCAAGGAGGTGCTGTTACCCCTGGAAAACTCTGTGCATGCTTGCTGCCCCTGCAGGCAGCGTGGGAACTCCCGGGGCATGGGCTGAATGCAGAGACTTCACCTCCCTTGGGCAAGCTCCGCACACACCACTGATTCCCTCTCAGTTGTGCTCCCGGGTGAACTGCGCTCCTGCTTTTTCCTTATGAGCCCTTAGCCCAGCAAAGCCCTGCCAGGCCTGGGACCCCTGGACTGTCCTCCGTGGCTGCTGCTGGCACTAGACAAGCACTGCTGGCACAAAGGACAAAGGAGCTGGGTGTGATACAAGGCTGGTTTTAAGGATGCTCCAAAAACACCTGCAGTCTGACAGCATCCAGCAGGGAGCTGGACCGGGTCCCTGGCTGGCCTGGTGGTAGAGAGGGGATGGAGCCCCACAGACAGCACGTGAGTGGGTCTGACCCCTTCTAGCAGAGGACTATAACCAGCCCATGCAGCGAGGTTACAACAGCACGAGTCTGTCCCTGCTCCCGTGAGAAGTAGGATGTGTTTGCTAACATCACTATACGGGCCCAGTCGCATGGCTGGCAGAGACGTCAGACCGGCTCTGGGGCACCAAGCACCTTCCCCAGGGCTGGGAGAGGAGAGGGACACCCTGCGTGAGATGCCAGGTACCGCCAAGGTTTAACTCCACAGCACGAGCCAACGTCAGCGCCCAAAGGAGGGAAGAAGGCAGGAACCCAGCAGCTCTCAGGAGGAGCTACAAATCCAGCGGAGGGGAAGCATCCAGGAGCCACGCTGAAGGACGCAAAGGAATAAGCTCCTGATGTCTGTGTCTGCACGGAGAGATGGTGACATCTATTGGCCACAGAGTCAATCGGCCGGGTGACAGTCTGGGTGCCTGGCACCGTACGAGTGACCATCAATAATGACGTCCCAGACGCCCAGGCCCCAGCTGGCGCTCGGGTGCTGGGCGCCGTCTGACCATCAACCCAAGCTGTTGATGCTGCAATCAAATAGCTCCCGGCGCCAGCATCTACTTGGCTAACCAGAGGGGCGGGTTTGGTCTGCCCACAACGTGAGCACGTTGCCTGGTGCTGGTATCCCAGTTACAAGGGGAGGCTAATCCGTCTGTGTCTCTGCCGCTGGGGACAAGCCACGGGAACGGCGTGGCTGCCCCGCTGGAGGGCAG